GACTGAATATTATTACAAAAAATATAGTGCAAAACATTTTAAAAGGCTGTCAACGTAATGCAGTATGAAAGTAATCACACAGTGCAAAACATTTTAAAAGGCTGTCAATGTAATGCAGTATGAAAGCAATCACAAGTTTCATACCTCCTTAAAATTCAAGGTGTGCTTCTATTTCTACCTCTGTGGTTTGCATTTGAATGAAGCACCGTAATTTTCCGAGTGGTGAGCCATCCTTTTTTAGTTGTTAGATTAGTTTGTGAATTTCACTGAGCTATTATGAATCCTATTCTGAGAATTCCTGACTGATCTAGGTACTAGAATAGAATTCAGCATGCCAATTGGACATAATCTGAAAACATTTCTCTTTTAACCCTGCAAGATGCAGAATATATTATTTAAATATGGCATAACACAAAAGGCCTAAACAGAGGATATTCTAAGGGAAACTGCTTCATATTCACGTTACAAACGAGGGAAAACTAGGAGATCCTTAAGGAATTTTGTACTTCAAGTTGAAGTTTACAATGAATTTCAGCTGTTTTTTTTTTTTTTTTTGTTGTGCTCATTCAACATTCTCAGTTGGTAGTAGAAACTGGCATGAATTCACATGGCAGGCTTGAAGGTTACACTGTTTTATAACGCGTGTTTTTGAAATAGGAAGTAAAAAAAAATATGCCTGATATTTAACATATCACTTCTCTCTATAGCATACAGTTAAATTTCTATACATTTTACAATCTCATACAATTATTTCAAATGTGAAGCATTATTTCTCACTGTCCCTGAAAAGATTTCCAGAGATTATTTAGCGCAGACTAGTTTTCAATATCGAAACTCAAATATCCGATTGCTTTTAACAATATAAAGCATGCACATGAATGTAACTTTAGAAGCTGGAAAAATGTTAGGTACTATATGCAACTGACAGAGAGATGATGATTTTAGCTTTAATGCAACATACTATGAAAATAAAAACTAATGGAAGCTAACTTCATTTCTGATATTCATATGCAGACAAGAATAAAATTATAAAGGAAGAATTGCAGAGAATGAATTATTACAGAAATTAAAAGTTTATTCAGAGATTTGCTTTACGCTTCTTTGTATTTCTCGGGGGTTGACACAGAGAACTCTGTGAAATACTGGCTAGGATCTGTACCAAGGCAGTCTTGGCGGTTCCCCCATGATCTGTGGGAGCAGCAGGAAACAGCCCCTGGATTTGTCTGGGTGCCCCACAGGGTGAGGAGGGATAAGTCCCAATAACATCGGGCAATCGGCACCCCGTGTGGTACTGGAAGTTTGCATTTCTGACGACCAGTCAAATCTCTAAGAGTGCATGTCCCACCAACTGTGAAACTCGGAAACCAGCAGTGGTGACCCTGCATGCCTGGGAGGTAGCAATTGGCTTCAGTGAATTTTTTTTAAAGTCTGCTGTCTCATGTTGACAGTGGACAGACCCGGAGCAGTAGCAAGTGATTGTGTTTAACCTTTCACCAGGGGAATACTCAACTGGGTGTCTCACCTCCTGCCTAATACGGAGGTCTTTAAGCTGGGGTTCAGTCAGTGTCATGCCATAACAAGTAGTTGGCGGCACACATATCAGACAACCACTTACCCTTCTTTGGGTTGCAAGCATTAGAGTAATTGTTCATGACACAACTACAAACAGATTTGTTTAATACACAGTTAGTTCTGTTTGGATTTGAAATCAAATATTTTATCTACTCACAGCACATGCTTTAGTTTCATTTTCCAAACTAATTAACATTCAGCAATCCATTTACACCACTATAATAACATCAGTATTATATACAACTCTAGTGGTACTGTTACTGCATCATGAGAAACCAACTCCATCTGATACTGATATCCAGCTGGAAAAGAAAATACTCTACAATGGTGCAAAGTACTGTTAAATAAATGAAGATACTTTAAAAGGAAACCACTTTACTTTAGCCTTAAAAATAAAGGAACCGTAATATTTTAAAGCCAATAATAATCTGACAACTTAAAAAAAAAAAAAAAAAAAATTCAAAGTGAAGGTTTAAATGTATTTTAACAGTAAACGAATTAGCATACTTTGACACCCAATGATGTAACAATACATATAGAAAGAAGAATAAATAATTTATAGTTCATCTCCTAAAACATATATTTGAACAGAATGATTTTACATGTACTGTGCTCAAAGCAACTGTCAAAACAAGAATAACAAAGCTGCAATAATGAAGTAAAACTGATCAGCCAGAAAAAGGTATACATTGAAAATATATAATACCTAATGATTACATGCACTGTAAGTGTATTGTAGCACAGGACCTGAAAAACAAAAACAGTATATATGTTACCGGCAGAGTATGACGGTTTTAGGCAAACTCTGAAATATGAAAGTTATTACATACTTTCTCTATGCATTCTATAGAATGGCAAATGTGCTTTAGGCAAGGTATGAAAAAAGGCTATGATAAAATTTATTATTTATAAGACACATTCATCAGAAATACAAATGTTATTTTGAAAAATTTATGAGTGCCATTAAAAAACTTATTTGAATTATGTAAAAAATACTGATATGATCTTGATACAACATAAGTTTGCTAGCTGGCCGAGACTCGGAATTGGCAAGATCTACTTGACAACAGAAATTATATTCAGAAACAATGGCCTTTTTGTTTTTCTGGCAGGGCTCATAAAGGCGGTTATACACTCCAATATCATTATGTGTAACGTTTTTGTAATTTGTTGAACATGCTTTCAACATTTTGTCAAGTTCGTGTCCAGTACTCAAATGAATTTTCATGAAATACGGAAAATAACTCAGCGTCCCTGACACGATATTGTATAGTACCAATGCTTTCATTAACAGGGTAAATAAATGTACTTTTGTTTTCCACAAACATCACATCCTAGCGATAAAGCAACCAGTAGTCCCGTGGTGGTTCCTTCATGGTAGTCAATGTGGTCTTTTTACATCATTTACGAACTTCTGGTAAGTAGTTTCAGTTCTTTGAAATGAGTCGGAAATGTATTTTATACTTTGCCGGTTTGTCATTCTATAGAATGCCTAGGAAATGTGTGAAATATCAATCGTTTCATACATTGCCTGCTAGTTTCAGGCATTATGTACAATGTCAGATCTCAAAAACTTGGCCAGTAACATATATATACTGACTGATATTAAGGAGGAAAAAAAAAAAAAAAAAAAAAAAACTAACAGGACGTATATACTGGCACTTCTAGAATAATTAAAACATGTTATATTTATTCCAAAATAAGGCAAGTCTTATGGTTTAGAATAAATGTTAAGAAATAAAAATGCAAGTTAAATATTGACAGCATGATTCTGTTTAGAAGTCATTTTATTCTGATTAGAATGAAAATAAATGCCCTAATTAATAAGCTATGGAAAGAAAGATTAAGAAGTGCTACTGATATATTTTCAGGCATATCAGTGACCAGTAAAGTAAAACAAGCCTGAACTTAAATTGTTCAGCTATTACAATGTGATAATTATGTAGTTTTTATAAATGGTAATTACCTGTGCACTTTACCATGTAAATAATGAAATTATTCTATATAGTATAACTAAACTACTTTCTTTCTGAAATTTTGTTTATCAAAATAGCCATCAAGACCATATGAAAATTTAGAATAGCCAAAGGGAGTCAAATTATTGGAAAAATGGCAAGCTAACTTAAAAATTTCTGAAAAATTTACATTTCCCCAAAATACAATTCAGAGGATAAAACTGTATAAAAGTGACGATTTAGCAATCTTAATTATGGATGCACAAGTAGATGAAAATAATTTAGGCATTCTAACTCTAATGCAAGTTAAATATTTATCTCTAATGACAGCAAAAACTTCAGGCTTTAAAAGGAAAAGATATTAACCACATCATCGTTTTCCCCGACACGTAATACTGAAAATTCACACACAGACATTTCTCAGGCAGTCTGGATCATAACCTTCCCAAGAAACACTCATACCTTCAAATTCCCCCCCCCCCAGAATGCAGCAAAAATTAAGAGAAATGATTGATGGTCAAGCTCTCTCCAGAGCGGGGTTGTATCAGAAATCACACAAAGGGAAGTTCACAAACAAAGGAGAAAAGGAAATGCATTTCTAGTGCTATTACAATGAAACTACTGCTCATTAGAAAGTGCACCTTTTAGAAATTCTTTGTTAACTTTTCGATAAGAGACCAGGGAACACAAATTTTACTCCCGGGTATAGGCGAGGAGGCACTTTCCTAAACAGGTTTTTATAGCTGGCAAGAAACATTTCTAAGGCAAGTTTCAGATGCAAAGTTTAACTTGGGAGGGGGAAAAAAAAAGAGAAGCAAATACTTCAGCTTTATAGTAGGGTGAGGTGATTCAAAGTTTGCTATAGGTTATACAACTGAGAGTTATGTTTAGCAGCAATTATCTAGAATGGCATACGTCATTAGTTGCAGAGATATCCAAGAAGTTATAAGAGACTAAGCAAACAGAATGTAAGCTACAGAAAATAATATTTCACCAACAAGCAGCTGACTTGGCATTACTGAACATTTTCAAGAACACCAAAATATTTCTGCACAGATATATGTTGCTTCGATTCTTAAATCCGGTTAACCTAATGAAAGGATAGCTCTATGAAGCAAACAGCCATGGATCCACCCTGTCAAACTAATTCCATCATGATGTGTTCTTAGTATAGTTTGGCAAGTTTATAAATGCTTATAATTATAAAATATGGCCTGCATATTTTCTATAACCTTTAAGGGAGTGTCTCAAAATTGAGAAGCTCATGCGACCTGCGAATACATTTCCTAAAAATGAGCATTATTTATTCTGGCAAGAACTTTTAAGATCTTAATGGTTTTCAGTACAGTTCATTCATGACAGACAGTTTCCAGTAATTTTTCCTCTAAGGATATTTACTTAAAGCAAAAAGTGGATTAAGCAAAAATTTTTACAAATAAACTTATAATCTTTATAAACAACATTAAAGACAGCTTTCTAAGAGCATAATATAGTTTATTACATTTCATTAAATTTATCAATAGCTCAAATATCACTGGCAACAGGATATATGATGGAGAATTAGTAAGCATTGCCATATTAACATTTTTTCCATCCTGGCAGTGATTTTCAAATGGGGAAGGGATTATGCAGAGCTAATTACAGCTCAATTTTAAATATGATAATAATCTGTTCCCTAATTATATATATATATATATATATACACCACACACACACACACACACATATACATATATATAATATATATTATTATATATATATATATATATATACAGAATTTCTTTGAAAAACTGAACATGCTTTATTTTTACAATGTTTGCGCAAAATTGTCTTTTATTAGACAAACAAAATACAATTTAGTAGTAAAAAGATCTTAACATTCCTAAATTCATTCAAAATGTGACACAAAATGTTTACACTATATACAGAACAATTTTGCATCGGGGACATAACAAGTAGCAATGTACAGATACGATGCAAATGATACAATAAAACAGATGGCAACATTCATCCCAACCCAGTACAAACCAACCATCAGTATAATGTCTGATCAATACTATCTTGTTTTTAAATAAAACTAAATCAGTGCAAGCTAAAAAGTACTTCATGGAGGAAACATAGGTGGGTTTAGTAAAAATTTGTACATATCATTGAGTTTTACTTGGAAACAACATTTTTAATGCACGTATTCTAATTTTGTACATTATTAGTTTGGGATTGCATAGCTGAATATCTTTTTAAAATAATATGCAACAACCAAACAAAGAATACAGTTGTCTGAAGGAGACGGTTTTATAATCACAGATACTGCTTTAATTTTAAACTAGATTTATCGCATATGAATTTTATATGCATTTTAAATGAAGTGATAAAAGTTTAAGAATTATAAAGTAAATGCAAAAAAAATTACTCAGTCAATAATTTATAGATGAGAACAAGATAAACAAAGGAAACACCATTTCGAAGAAAATGCAGAGTATTTCACAAATTATGTAGTTTTCAGGATAGAAAATAAATACAGTAAATTTATTTTTTCACTTATAAATACATACTTGTCATGGAACATTCAAAACATGCTCTCAATATACACATTAGTGTACTCTAACAAATTCTAGTTCTAATTATTGTACTTTAAACAAAGAAATATAGTTTCAAATAACATATGGTGGGAGGATGAGATTAACCTAATAAGGTACAAGTTTCAAAATGCACAGTTATGCAATTTAAAATTTTTAGATGTATTTTCTTTAATGCATCATTTCAACACAGAGTATTAAGAACACAAAGACATTAAAAAGTGATGGTTGGAAACTTAGGCAGAAGAATAAATAATCTGAAATTTAGCTCCATAAAACATAAAAATCTATCCCAATAGAGTGACTTCAAATGTAGATAAATGTAATATCTCTAGGGTAAAAAAATAAATAAAATAAATAGTCTTTTTTATTTTCTTTTATAAATACAACTTTGTTACACAATATTCAAAAATCATACTTTTAACATATACATTCCAGTTCTAATCTTTGCAGAATGAATCCCAATGTTTTCTTAACTTAATAAGAGATGCATATAAAATTCAAGCTTTGAAAATGTCATTTAGATAACCAGTTGATTATGAGTATAATTGCAATCACTATTTACTTTCTCAAATTCAAACAAGTTACACCTATTTACTTCCTGAAATTCAAACAAGTTGCACAGCTACATGCCATTATTACAAAAAAAAAAAAAAAAAAAAAAAAATCATCATTCAATGATTGGAACAGATTTGTACACACAGTTAAACCACAACATTCATTTCTCTTCTTAAGAAGGCGAGAGGATCTTTGAGCAACTGGTTATCATTAGGAGCATGATTTTATTAACATTATTTATATTTGATTTTTCGACCATTAGGTCTAAAAGGATGATTGTAGATTAAAGAGAAATTAAATCAAAATACCTTCGTATTTGCTTTGACCTAAGGGAAAGGGAATGCTTATTTTTAATCCTGAAGGTCAAATTATATAGAGCATTGCTAGTAATTGAGTTGCAAAGATGAAGAATAAGATATTAAAAGCAAACTTACAGCAGTAATGATGGAACACAAGTGATAGATTTACCTTCAAACTCACAACACAACTAAAGAGTTTTCAAACAGAATAGGAACTTGTACAATAACACGTATGAACAATGCACTCAAAATTTTTTAAAAGGCAAGAACTTTTTTAAAAAAAAAAGTCTGATCTTATTGCTTTCAGGCTGAATGGATGTCTTAGAGCAAAGTTTGGCTGTAAATAAATAGTAGCACGTTTATTTAGTTTTCAAATACATCTTCAAGATAACAGCATTTAATTTTTTTTCTATGGCTTTTAACAGTATTATCATAACTATAATGTCTTAATAACGCAACTTAATAAACAGAGAAATATTTCTAAGGTACTTTTAAAGTAATAACAAGTGATCCCTTTTTTCTATTTGTAACAGTTAATAATTTATAAAGCTTATTCATACATCTCTCCCATAGTATTTGTCAAAACTGATTCCCTGGAATGTCACACAAAAAGATCAGATATAATGTATACAACACATCTTAGAGGAAGATATTAAGCTACAGATGTAGCTTTAGTCCCAATTGTCTTCTCTATATATCACAAAAGTAAAGTATTCATCTTCCATTCACTAATGAAACATGATCTCAAGGTATTACTTTATGAATGTAGGAGGTATGTTTTCAATAATAAATGATATGATGTGCGTGTTATATAACTTACTTTCGGCACAAATGACTGTACAAAACAAACATAATAAAGATTATTTCAATACTTTAAATTGAACACCTTACGAGATCATGGCAAACAATCATTCAAAAAAAAAAAAAAAAAAGTCGGTAGAAAGGATCCAGCTACCGAATGATTCCCATATTTATATAACAGAGGTACAGTTGATCTCACATCTATGCAAAGCAAAAGATATTTCAACTGTACAAAATTTCATGACAAATTATTATACAAGTTCTTTAGTAAAAAAAACTATATCTGCTTTGCAAACAGTTATTCTGTAGTCCACTAATAATACCCTTAGGAGATGGATATAAAAGCACTGGTAATAAAAGATTTGACGGCAAAAGTTGTCTTTTGTTCTGTAGAAGAAACAGGGAAGGAAGAGAAAAAAACAGAAAACAAGGACATAAATTGGTTATAAATTTTCAACATATTTATCAAGCTGCTCTTCTCGTGTTAGATGAGCCAGGTCCATGTTGTCCCTAGATGAGAGTCCCAATTCTTGATTAACTGGGCTCTGCAACTGACTGGCTATGCTAGGATGAGAAGACACTGGATTTGAAAGATGTGTAAGCATCATATCATTATTGGTAGTCATTTGATCTGGACCTGTTAGCCCAGAAGTTCCCACAGAAAGACTTGGATGTGGCGATTGAGTCTGTGCAGGATAATGTGGTGAAGGTGCTGGTTGCTGTCTTGGTGATGGAATTGGTTGATTTTGAGGTGTGTTGGCCTGAGTCCTAGGGGAAGCAATAGGCTGAGGAGAACGAACGGTCTGTGCCAGTTGAGCAGCAGTTGGTGGTGGGGATCTCACTTGTTGCATTAACTGCTGCTGGGAAGGAGATGGTACTGGTCCCTGAGGGTGCCCAAGAATACCCTGCTGAGGACTGACAGGTGGATGTGTTGGTGAAGCCATTTGTTTTATTTGAGGCTGCATAAGAATTTGCTGTGGTTGTTGCTGAAATTGGAATTGAGTATTGTCACCCTGAAATCCTTGCTGGTGACCAAAACTCATAGGAATTGGAATTCGTGGACGTTGAGCATACATAGGAGGTTGAGGATGAGGAAACTGATTTGGTTGCTGCTGTTGCCTTTGCATGGCTAATAACTGTGGTTGGTGTTTATACCAAACACCAGGCTGAGGAGGAGGTCCGATCATATTACTTTCATTCAACAACATATGTTGTTGTTGTTGTTGCTGCTGCTGCTGCTGGGCTTGCTGTTGTTGTTGTGTCCTTTGTTTGATAAATGCAGCCATTAGCTGTGGATTTTGTTTCAAAATAGTTAGTACCTGCTGTTGTTGCTGCGGTGAAGCAGGTGACTTAAGTGTATGAAGCAACTGCTGCAAAGCTTGCGTTGGTCTTGGTATGTGCATTGACGGCCCTGGATTAGGCAGTACTTGAGGTGGTCCCATAGCAGCAACAGAGTTCCCCATGGAATTGCCCATGTTACCTGGTCCCATGATCTGTGATGGCTGTCTTAATGCCACTGGTTGAGAAGCTTGAGGTTGTGGACTTTGGTGAGGTGGTGGATTCTGACTATAATTTGAGCCATCCCAACAAGCAACATTACTCATACTTAACATACGATTAGGTACTCCAGGCATCATTTGAGACATGGGCTTTTGCATCTGAGTTTGAATTTGCTGCTGCGTGGCCATCAAAGCTGGGTTTGCAGTTGGAGGACTGACAACAGGATTTCCTTTACCGTAATTCACAGAGGCAGCAACCATATGTGGTGCTGTTTGCCTTGCAGCAGCTGCTTGTACCTGCTGAACTGCCTGTAGAGCACCAACTGGGGGTCCAGTTGAAGGTTTCATGCCAATGCCAGGTTGAGGTGGGTGCGGTGAAGTGTGAGGTTGAGCACCAGGAGATGGCTGACTGGAAGAATTGGAATTTCCAGGGCTTGTCTGAGGCACTGCTGCTGACATTCCTCTATTCTGCATAGTAGCAATACGTCTCTTTAAAATCTGAGCTTGCTGTAATCTCTGTTGAAGTTGTTGTTGCCGTAATTTATGCTTGATATTCAAACAGTATGGCACTGGACATTTAGCTTCCTATTGGGGAGGAAAAAAGCATAAGAATGTACATCAAAACTCAATAATATTTCCATTGAGAAGGCTTTTGTGTGTACATATACCAATGTCAACATGAGCATATATTCCTTAAGAAAAAAAAAAGGGACAAAACAAATGTTACTACCTGAATTATAACTGTACGGACAATTATTTGCAGGACATATGTATGCATGCATTTTACACAGAACCATTTTCTATAGACCAATAGCTTGCATCCTGTGTCCATTACTTTTGAACTGAACATAGTTTTAAGATAGTGACCATCAGCTGAAAGACATTTTGCCTAACATTGGTGTCAGCTGTTATGCATAAGGAAGGAAAGCGTAATGAAAAGAAACAGAGCTTGGCTCAAACTTGCCATGTGATTTAAACATTCGTATTTCTGATATCCATTCGAATCCTTTTTTCACCACAATGTAGGTCTTTTAGGGTTACTATGCAGGTTTCTGTTACACTTTTATTACTTGCACTTCATGTACTATTTTTTTTTGTTTTTATTTTGGAAAGCCATGACTTCAGTTTATGAGAGAGACCTAGTGCTACTTATCTGAGGAAAAACATATTAGTATGGTAATGGAGCCTATTAGTGCCATGGAGGAGAGTGATAAACCATTTTTTAAAGAGCTGGAAAGCGATATTTCAAGTGATTTCTTTATCAGAGACTGAGCTCACTGAGTGCTTGCTATCCACTTCTCGTGAAAGATTTTACTATTCTTGTAAATAGTTTTTCTTGTATTCTTTATTATTTTGGAAGTTTATTACTGTATTTTGTCAATTAAAACTTAGGAATAATTCAAATAGTGCTTCCCCAAAATTATTTTTCAAAGTAATCAATTTTTTAAAAATATTTTCATGTAAATGTTATTAAACTCCATTTTTTAACATATGTGACAGCTTAAGTATTTATCTAAAATGATACCAAAAATTGCGTTAGGACAATCTCCCCCCCCTAAAATTAGGCTTCGTGATTTCTTTCAAGTCCCACCTGTTCCAAGGGAACATCTTAACCCCTTGGGCCTACACAATATCTGCCAATTGCACCAGCTATAGTAAACAAGTCGGTCGCGTGCCGGTGCACCCAAACTGGCACAAAATGTATACTTTTCATGACGTATATATATTTCAGTGTAACGAAAGGAATTGTGAAATAATAAGCAATGTTTAGATACAAATAGTAATTTTAAGACATGATTCGTTGTAAAAGGCCAAATGGTTAAACAAAGGCATGCTGTCTTGAAAGGGTTAACAATTTTCCTTTCTAGCATATTTGCAAGTAACGCATTTTTAGCCTTTCAATTAATTTTAACTTCTGACACGCTCTTCAAGAAAGTGGGTAGCTCAACGGAAGATCAAACTATGATTTACAATAAACTTCACTGAATGCACTGTAAAATTCATACAGTTATGGCACATTAATTTTAAATTCATTAATACGTCTGGTTTCTTACAGCAGTAGCACACCAGACACCTGCTAACTATACTTCCAATACTTAACCCTTCAAAATAGGGTACTGGACAGTTGTCTATCAAACTTTCAGCTGCAGTTTAAAAATATATGCAACTTGCCCCACCATCAAGAGTTACCAGAAATTATTTAAAGATTTCTAAATAGGATACGTTGAAATGCAGGATGGTAATAAAAAGATTTCACACGATGTATGAATCCCTAGCAGCCTATCTGCTCAATTAATCGAAATGATATGTACTTAAGACTAATGATATAATGCAATAACAGAGTTCTCAGGTTTATGGCTACACTGAAAAAATTTCAAAATTTTTGAATAGCCACACCCAACCTTTTTTTTTCTTGCACACAAGAGAGAAGAAAGAAAATACTTTTATTGCAATTACAAGTTTCCAATGTTCTCACCTTTGTAGAGGATAATGCATTCCATGAAAGAGACCTTTGAAAACAACAATGAATGCAACATCACAGAAGGAATCTCGGTAATTTCACATTTTATGGTGCTTCTAACACACCAGGACCAGCTTCGCGTATACGCGGCACAACAATTCCACCCCTACCAGCTCAGCGCCCCGTATACGTGACGTAACGATTCTGCTCCTACAGCCCAACGTCTTGGATACGTGCCATTAAAACAGAACAATTTATTTGAATTTTTAAAAGCCAGCAAATGGAGCTAAGTGGTAATTGTTTTCACATGGATTGATTCATACGGCATTTGACCTTCATCTACTGGCATTAGTTTCTGTTTTGTGCTTCTAGTTTTGAGATTTATTGAAATAAACTGGAAATCACGGCTCTTTATAAGTGTACCTGTGAATTAAAGGGGCAGAGGAGTTTTTGTTTATTTCGTTAGGATTATTATTATTATTTTTTCCTATTTATTTTGAAACTTAACATAAGCTTTCTTGGTTAAATAAAAAGTAACATTACAACATTATTACAGAAGGGGAAAGACTATCAGCTTTCTCGACACGTAATGAGTCTTGCTCACATTTTCTCAGGAAAGAGGTCATCATATATAATGCCTTGAATGAAAGATACAAGCATTATATTTTGGTATATAATGTATTTACTTTACAAATAATGTAATCATATACAATGTATATAATGACGTGATCAGTAATGGATATTCTGCCAGTGTGGGTCTTTCCTTGATAACTTTCCGGCCATTGTGGATGCTGTTTTCGATTTACAAAAACAGGAAGTTATCTAATATAAACCTGATGTCACACAGGGTTTGAGGATGAGATATTTCTGAGTGTCTTTTGAAGAAGTTTTGGGACATGTGTCGGGTTATATTCAGTTTCATTCCGTTAGCCATGGCTAAGAGACCTTACATAAAAACTTAAAAATTTGTCTAAAATGACCAGACACTATAAATTTCTGTCTAAGTGGAAGACAGTTTCTAAAAATCTACGTTGACGGAAAAGATGCGTTGTGTGCACTAAAACCAAGGAAAAGCGAAAGCAAACAACGTATTTCGAGTGCGAAATATGCAACGTAGGATTGTGTGTCGATCCTTGTTTTGAGCTATTTCACATACAGCAGAATTTTTAAATTGGAATTTAATTACATACAGGAAATTCTTTAGTTTTTTAAAATTTTATATTTGTACTTTTTTTCATGTTTACAGTATTTATTTCTGTGTGTATAGTTATGATTTTAGTGTTTTACCTGTTTAATTTATTTCTATTAATGTGATATTCTTTATATTAACACACGTTAAAACTAAGTACATTAAATACGCAACTGCAACAATTGAAGTCATAATATCAAAATGCTGATTTTATATGATATTTTTTTTGTAAAATTAGGCTTAACCACTGAAAATATGCGGCCCTGTGGTGACAATCCATTTCAGCTTAAATGGTCCTGTGATTGCGCTTCTTTCTCCTGACGCTGGTCCTTAAGGGGTTAACGTTCTCACCAATCTTGTGGATTTAATTTGTACACCTTAGATTTTAGATAAACTCATGGCTGTGGCCATGAAACTGCAAAGTTACGGAAAATGAATGCTGAAGCACTTGACAAACACATGGGCAACAGAAGTTTGTGGAAGAGCATTACTTGCATCAATGAAGAGTTATCAATGACATTTTGTTGTTGCTGTGGAAACGATCTCTTCAAACAAGTATGGACCGAGGACAAATGTGCTTGCGATTCCACAACACACGGTCGCTTTGTACAAAGACAATGGTGCACATCGAGAAGTTTTCATAAGCCCAGTGAACATTTCAATTCGCAGGTAAGGAGAGCTGCACCACATCTGTCCCTAATGCCTGCAGCAGCTACTTGCTGTGAAAAATAAATAATATTTGCAAAATCAACATGCTGTTTCTCTTCTCTAGGTTGCAATGTCTGGACATACTGAAAGCAGTTGCAACACCTGGACACAATGAAATCAAGAAGAAAACATATGCAGAACAGAAAGCTTAAGTCTGAGGACTGTGGTTTTGGATGCATCTAACTGCAGCAACACTTTTCCCCTGTATGCAGTGGATCTGTAGTAATCGTATTAAAAACTTCCACAACTTCTGCAAGAAGACATAATCCAGATCGCAGTCAATCACGTTCGCATCAAAGTTCTTCAAAATTTTCACCCACATCATGTACATACAGTTTTTATGGAACACGGGCCTAGTCTTAGTTTATAATTTCGCCAACACACTTATGTTGCTTTGGCAGCATTTTGCCTGGTCAGATAAAACATCAATTCACGTTGTTAGCACATTTTGAACACCTGACTGAAGAAACATTTCCCCCATACTGCTCATTAACCCATTCAGTACGGGCATGTTATATGTGGCATCAGCAACAAACATTACCTCACAGCCGGGTGTGTCATATTTGAATCGCCATTTAATTCACTCTATGGCCGGGCATACCACATTTGACTTTTCAGATAGAACATTTAATTAACATTTTTTGTTGCCACTAAATATAGCTGTATGTCTGTTATGGGGAAATATATCGAAAGAATAAATGTGTACCTTCATCCCTATTTTTTTATTTTTGGTATTTTGTTTCGGAATGAGAGAAAATTCAAGGGTGGGTGTTGAGCAATGCAATGTCTCTTTAACTGCGTCAGTTGATAAACAAATGCACATGTTCTTGATGCTTTGAGGTACTTTTTAATTTTGTGGTATAGGTATTTGAACGTAGCAGAATATACACAAATGCTAATTTGTTAGTGTTGAGTAACGTTTTGGCTCTTACTGCATCATTTCATATAAACAAGTGAACATGTTCTCGATGCTCTGGAATACATTTTAATTTAATTATTTAATTCTTTTATCACAATGTAGTGGAGTAGATGCTCTATCATTAGATACTTTTTTAAAATTACTCTTAGATTTTTCCGGCATTGAAACGAATATTTTGTATGGCTTAACCCACCGGGCGGCTCGCATTCAAATCTATTTACGTCTCGAAAACTGCAGTAAAAATTAACCATGTTTACAATTTTTTTTTCATTTAGTGTGAACCAAAATTGTCCTGAAAACGGCC